TACAGTAGTACAATAACATATTTCAAGAGACAGACCCCACTTATATAACTTACATTACAGTGTTATAGTGTTATAACTGTTCTATTAGCATTAGCTATTGCTAATCTCTTATTGTGCCTAATTTATAAATTAAAACTTTACCATAGGTGTTTCTATATAAGATAAAACAGAGGGTGCCATAAACAGAGGTATTTATGTATAGTATACAGAGGATGCCAAACAATGTATTCACATTTTAGGAAAGGAAAAAACTGTATTAAAATTGTAATACTCAATATATACTGATAGCAAAAGATAAATACAAATCACTGAGAATTGCAAAAGTCAAACGTGACTGGAGTATTACAAATTGAATACAGTTTTTTCCTTTCTTAAAATGTGCATTTTTTTTTGGTACCCTCTGTAAATAGGGTTCAATACAATCTGCATTTCAGGTATCCACTGGGGAATCTTGGAATGTGTGCCCCTTGGTTAAGAGGGTACAACTACAAATCAGTTATATCTCATTAAAACTATGCAACATGTGTATTTGGGCTCCAGGAACCTGTAGGAAAAGTGTGATCAGTTTATATGTCCTCACATAACACGTGAAATCAGATCCAAACTATATGTTGGAGTGAGGGCATATTTCACTAGTTATAGAGAGGCAGGTTATAGAACACTTACCATTCCCCTATGGTTTCCCAAAGATTAGGACTTTATGTCTGGAAATTCACATCCCTCAAAAGTATGAGAGAATTGAATCCTTGGGGATTCGTTTCTTAGGGAGAAGAAGGTAAGAGCTGACTGTACCTAGCAGAATCCTGTAGTTTATATCCTGGGGGAGGATTTCCCCAAACTCTTGACAAAGGGTTTTGTGGCAAATGAGATCCTTATTTTTGATTTGCTCTGAGTTTCACAAAGGTAACTCATTTGAGTCTTTACCCACAGGATGCCTCCAAACCACAAATTCCTGATTCCTACTCTGGTTTATTCTAATAAGAACTAAGCTGATCCCTTAATCCCTGTTTAAAGGGCCCATATTTATTGAAGCTGTAAACTCTGGGCAAAGGGTCATAAATCACTCTTTAGCTGGATCCAGAGCATGAGGTAGTTGCAAGACTAGGAATGGGCACACAGAGGTAATGTAATTAGGACTCTTGTCTGTTTCTCTGGTGTTTTTCCATCCCTATGGGCCAACCCTTGTCTTGGGAATCTCCCAATGCCCCTCCAAACTCCTGCCCTCCATGGTCCACCAGGCTCCAGGCCTGGAAGGAGGGGTGGAGGCAGCACTGATTGCTTCTGGCTAGCTTTGCACAATGGGCAGCACTAGCAGGAAATTAGAGGAGCAGAAAGATATAGAGAGATTGGAGTATTCATCTCCCTGCTCCCTCCCTGTCAGGTGACTGTGGTTTTGTACCTGAAGCCACAACTCTAGGCAGCCTCCTCCCCTGGTCCCTTCAGGTCTAGAGATGGTAACAACTTCCCAATAATCCCTGCTGCTTTACCTTCCCTGGACCATTCCCTTCATCCTGATCACACCTTTGCACTAGTTTAGTGCTGCAATTGTTGCTGCAATTCTGACACTACACCTTTACAGCCCCCAACAACCACCCTCATGCATAGTCTTTATCTCCCAACAGTGCACAGGTTACCAAATGTATATCCCACAGGTCCCAGCACTGCCCTCTTCTCCATGCCTTGGTGCTCCCTTTTGCTTCTCCTATTCTGCCTCTCCAGCTCCTGTTTCCATCCATCCACCTGTCCATTCCCCACATCTATGTTGATAATGTTCTATCTAAATTCCAGGTCATTTCCACTTTCTTTCTTCTTTTTTTTTTTTGAGACAGAGTCTATGTCACCCTGAGTGCCATGGCATTACAGCTCACAGCAACCTCAAACTCATGGGCTTAAGCTATTCTTTTGCCTCAGTCTCCCAAGTAGCTGGGACTACAGATGCGTGCCACAATGCCTGGCTATTTTTTTTGTTGCAGTTGTCATTATTGTTTAGCAGTCCTGGGCTGGGTTTGAACCTGCCTGCATTGGTGTATGTGGCTGGCACCCTACCCACTGAGCTACCGGGCACCATCTGTTTCTACTTTCTTAATCAGCACCCCTACAGTGCTCCTATACTCATTTAATGTCATCTCCCTCTTCCCAGACATAAAAGCTAGGAAATTAGGTTACATCTAATCTCTCCCAGAGGAACCCAAGGGAGGGGCACTCCCAAAGCCTCCCACATAAACACAATTCAAGCAAGGTTGAAGCCAGCCCGTTTCTTGCTGCACAAATATAGGCTCAAGGCAATTTCTCCCTCTGATCACAGTGCCACCCCTTAGATCCTCCCTCTACAGAAATTCTGGCACTGCCATTCTGTTTGTCCAACCCTTATTCAGGAGAAAGAAGCACTTTATCCTTTCCCTCCTCTTCTAGGCCTTCACTGTCTCTCACCTACTGCTGGAGTCTCCCCAGGAGTTCTCTCCTTCCATCTCGCCCCCATAGTCTGTGCCCACAGTGCCAGCTCAGTGAAGCACATGTTTCAGCAAAAGCCTTCGGTGACTCCCCAGAGCTTGCGATGCCCGCCTCCTCTTTCACTTCTCTATTGAACGTGTGAGATTTTGCCAAAAGATCTAATTTTAAAAAATAAGAATACATTTGAATTACCAAATTGTTTAATGCTTAAAGGTGCCATTCATTACTTCTGAGTTTCAAAGAATTTTTTAAAGAAACACCTGAATTGAAGTTTAACGGAAAAGTTGTAACTTTCTTCAGCGTCTCAGCTAAGGAGCCCACCTCCCTTTGCCTATGGGTACCTTGGCTGATGTCTAGCAGGACCGGAGGCTCAGCCCAGAGCGGTGGATGAACAGAAGTGTCTACAGGGCTTTCTACTAACAAATAAGCCCTGGCTGGGTGCAGACGTTCAGGGGTGTGGGAAGCAGGTCCAGGTGACCCAGCCCAGCGCTCGAGCCCTCTGTTCTGCAGTCATCCCGGAGGGCACGGGATGCAGGAGGAAGCCTGAGAGAGCGGCCTGGGGAGGCCGGGCCCCCAGGACCCAGGCGCGAGGTCTTCCCGGGCGGCGGGGCCGCGGGGCCGCGAGGCCTCGGGGCAGCCCATTTGGTCACTCCGCGCTCTCCCGTCTCAGGCCCGAAAGAAGTTAACAGACTACCCACGGGCAGGCCAGGACTCCCCCGGGAGGGCCGACGCCCCCGGTCGCAAACCGTCGCACACTACCCCGAGACCTCGCGGTGCAAGTCCACCAGGGAGTGGGAAGCGGGGGACTGGGCTCAGCGCGCAAGGATGACCGCGGGGGAAGAGGAGGGTGGTGCATCAGAAGTGGGGGCGGGACAAGCGAGGGCAGGTCGGGGCAGCCCGCCTAAGCTCCGCCCCCTCCCCGCCCCCACTGCCAGACGGCGGGATCGAGGTGACTGACAGGCCTTCGGGCCAGTCACAGTGCGCCTCGCGACCTTGAGTGGCCTGCCGGGCCAAGCGAGCTGAGGGGGCGGAGGCGGGCGGGGAAGCCTTCTGGGGAGGGGCGGGGCCTCTGGGAGACTGGCAGCCCTCCCAGCCAGTGGGAGGCAGGAGCCGTCCCGTTAGCGCCGGATCCCCGCGGGTAGGGCTGGGCTGGCTGGCGGCGCGGTGGGTATCCCGGGGCCGCCTAGGGCCCCTGAGTCGGCTTCGCGCGGCGACATGGACCGGATGGCCAGTTCCATGAAGCAGGTACCCAACCCGCTGCCCAAGGTGCTGAGCCGGCGCGGGGTCGGTGCGGGATTGGAGGCAGCTGAGCGCGAGAGCTTCGAGCGGACTCAGGTGAGAACGCGGGACCCTCGGGCATCGCTGGGGCACCCTGAGAGACGCAGTGTCCAGGAGGGGCTTTGAAAGGAGTAGGGGTCCTGCAGACCTAGGAGAGGATGGGCAAGGTGGCTGTGAGCAGGGGCAACTGGTGCGCAGAGCTAGGCGGTCCCCGAGAGGTTGGAGACCCCTGGGCGTCCCGGCTAGCCCGGGGGAAGAGCAGGAGGAGCAGAGGAGAGCTCCGAGGAGCGGCTGGTAGCGGCCAGAGCGGGCAGGACTAGGCGGGGGTCACAAGGGAAGGCGAAGGGAAGGCACCGAAAAGGGGCCAAATGGAAGAGGTGTTCCTAAGCAAGGGGTGGTGCGCTGGGTGCCACTTGGAGACGCAAGTGTGGGGGCAGAAATTGGGGGCGTTGGGCTAGGAATGTGAAGGGTAGGGGGAGTTTCCTTCCCCTCCTAACCTCTTCTTGGTTGCACTCACCACTTTCTCCGCCTCCCCTTAGCACCCTGGGGTGCCTCTCGCTTGACTCTTACCAGCCCAAGCCGTCTGCTGAGGCCGGGGTGTAGGGGTCCGAGAGGAGAGGCAGAACGTAGAAAATGCGAAATATGGCCGAGCTTGGAAAATCACTCAGAAAGCTGGATGGGGTGCCAGTCAGGGGCAGAATTGGGGGAGCTTGGCCTGACTGCCAGCTGCTGGTCAGGATGAGCTGCTCAGTGGTGCCCATAGCCCTGACTGGGGCTGAGGGTGAGGGAGTCTTGGTTTCGTCCACCAAGATGTGCCTGACAGCTCATAAGCAGGCTGCCCTATTTGTCCAGTTTGACCAGGGCTTGGGGCCAAATTCCTCAGTGTCATCAACAAAAAGCCACAATCCATTTTTACCTCAGAGTTTTTGATGTTTGGTGTATTGATTGGACTGAATAAAGCTGACATGTTTATGGTGTTCATGGGTTCATTTGTATGTAAAATCCATTTCAAAGAGTACAACACTTTTAAAATCTCACTGCCAAAGTTATATGGGCAGATTTGTTTTCTACTCTAGCTCTCAGAGTGGAACCTTTGAAGATCCTGTGGGGTCTCTGCTGCCCTAGGCTGGTCCCCTGCTGTGTTTGTCCTGAAAATATGTGTCACCATTTCTTTCTCCCAAACACAGTATATTTTGAGGGGAGGGGCTTTGGGGATCTAGGTAGAAAAGTTTGCAGGGGTCTAAGGGCTCTATATATGGAATCATGCAAAGAATAAAGCTTTCCACCCCAGAATATTTCATGCTTTTTTATTTCAGAAACCTCTGGCTCCATGCAGATCTCTGGATGGTTTGAAGTAGGGAATCTACTTTCCCCAGACCATCCTACCCAGGAGGGAAGGGATAGATTCCCATTCACTTCTGTCTATCTTTATGGACTAGACCCCTGAAAGAAAGGACGTTTTCTGTCAGTTTCAGGTGTTACTGCCTCTGCTTGTTGGCTAGTCATGTGAAACTTCTTGCTGCATGAAATAGTGTGCATATTTTTTTTAATGGAAGAAAAGAATAGATGGATGTTATTTTATAACAACCCATTCTAGAGTCTCAGATAAGTAAAAACTGGGGCGACAGGGAAATATGCATAAGACTTTGACCCATTATTGTGATAGAAATTAGGTTTGTGAAAGTTTTCGCTCATGACTGGCATGTCCAGTAACTATCCAGGTATGGCCCAACAAGGTTAATGTTTTCTAGTGTCTTACATTCTATGGAAGGCTTGTGATGGGCCACATGGACCTGATGGGAAAGAGAGTGAGCAGGTAACATGGAGCTGGAAAAGGGAATTTTTCTCTTATTGAAACTCTTTAGGGGAAAATGAGAGTGAAGAAAAAGAAAAGGAATAGTCCTGGGCAGCACCTGTGGCTCAGTGGGTAGGGCGCCGGCCCTATATACCAAGGATGGCAGCTTTGAACCCAGCCCAGGCCAAACTGCAACAAAAAAATAGCTGGGTGTTGTGGCAGGCACCTGTAGTCCCAGCTACTCAGGAGGCTGAGGCAAGAGAATAACCTAAGCCCGGGAGTTGGAGGTTGCTGTGATCTGTGATGTCACAGCACTCTACTGAGGGCAACAAAGTGAGAATCTGTCTCTAAAAAAAGAAAAAAGTAAAGGGAATAGTCCTAAAACCCAGCATTAGTCAATTTGCAAAAGTTTACTTTGTTTAATGCCTACCTATCAAATGTATTATGAAATATAAAATTGAGTTATAAGAAAATGTTAATGTGTTTAGAGATTGTGACAATAAGCCAAGGTATAATAATTATAACAAATTATTATGTTCTGCACCATTCTAAGTACTTTATTATATTACTTTTTTAATCTAGACAAGAATCGATGAGATAGGTATCAGCCACATTTTACTTTGAGGAAATTTAGGCACAGAGAGATTAAGTAACTGCCAGAAGTCACATAGCTAGAAGTGGCCCCAACCTTTAATCACTGCCATATGCTGCCTCTGAGTACTGAGCGAGTCCCGTTAGAGCTAGAAGATGCTGGAGTTTCCCAGGTATGTGTATGGGCTGTGTCACCTCCGACAAGTAGTCTAACCTTTCTAAGCTTCTGTTTCCTTATTGTAAAATAAAGATAATGCTTACCTCACAGGTTTATTGTGGGATTAAATTAAATAATATACATGAAGGCATTTTGTAAACTACAGAGCACTATTTCAGTGATTACTATTATAATCTGACTGGGAAGACGAGACTTTATAAAAAAGCAGAAGTGTAAGCAATTGTGCAGGCTGTGATTAACCCTTCCTTAGAGGGACTGAAGTGTTACCAGGGAATAGGATAATTACCAGGCGTGTATGGATAAAGTAAAGGTAATGAGGGTGGGGAAAGGTGAGGAGCTCTCGTGGAGGACTGTACATCTTTCAGCATGAGTTAGTATTTTGCTTGGTGGAAGAAGGGATGGGGCATTCCAAAAATGGGGGATGGCAGTAAAGAGGAACATCTAGGTGGGTACAGAGGAGACTATAATTGGCTGAGGTGGAGAGAGGGGCAGAAGTGCCCCTCTGAACTCCTATAGAAGAGTTTGTGAACCTCTCCTAGTTCCCATTACCTTGTACTGTTGTCATTTCTGTCTGTGTGGCCCTTAGTAAACTGGGAGCTTCTTGAGGGTAAGACTGTGTCTTGCTCTTGCCTGTATCTTTTTTTTTTTTTTTTTTTTTTTGAGACAGAGCCTCAAGCTGTCCCCCTGGGTAGAGTGCCGTGGCATCACAGCTCACAGCAACCTCCAACTCCTGGGCTCAAGCGAGTCTTCTGCCTTAGCCTCCCAAGTAGCTGGGACCACAGGCGCCCGCCACAATGCCTGGCTATTTTTTGGTTGCAGCTGTCATTGTTGTTTGGCAGGCCTGGACTGGATTCGAACCCGCCACCTTAGGTGTATGTGGCTGGTGCCTTAGGCACTTGAGCCACAGGCGCCGAGCTTCTTGCCTGTATCTTTAAGTGCCTGAAGCTCATGATAAGTGGTGGATGGGGCATGGTCAAGGGAAGAAGATGACTGATCAGCATTAGCAGGGAAGCCCTGGCCTGGGTAGACATTACAGCCCTGGTCCATGGGAGATTATCTATAATTACTTGATGCTTTTTTCCTGATGCTCCCAAGTTTCCTCCTTGTCTCCCCACACATCTGACAAAGGACTCTGATTACTTTGTCTGCCTTTCTGTGTCCTAGTGCCTGTATCCTGAGACCATCCTTGTCTCCTCATTCCTGCCAGCCTCTTCCAAGAAGCCTTGCCTCCTCAACTCTCCTGGCACCGTCCTTGCACTTCACCTGGCCACTATCCCTGCCAGAGTGGGCACCACAGACCCCAAGGGCCCAGCCAGTGCCTGAGCCCCATCTCTAGCCAGAGTCTGATGTGTTTCCCACCTAGTGGACTGCAAGCAACCTTCAGGCTTTAGGGAAATGAAAAGTACTTCTTGCCCTCAAAAAAATTGCTGGATTAATGTTACCTTATCTGGCATACTTTGCAGTTTATAAAGCATATCTTTAGCCGTCATTGGGGCCCCATGATGGTTAGGTATTGCAATCTTTATTTTATGGATGAGGACATCATGACTTAGAGCTTGGTAACTTGCCCAGGGTCATCCCATTGGTGAGTGAAAAGTTCAGGATTCAAAGCCAGGATTCCAGGTTCCAAGTCTCAGGCCCATTCTATCACACTGTCCTCATGTCAGCCAAGAGGATGATTCTGAAGGAACCAGGAGGGCTGCTAATCACAGACAAGCCAAATGCTCTGTTTTTAGTTAGCCAGAAAATAGTTTTCTCTATGGGTTGTTTATTCTTGCAACATCCATTTAGTGAGCACATACCGTGGAGGGGCACAGAGATGAGCAAGATAAAGAGACCAGCCCTAGGGGAGCTCATGAATCAGTGGGGAACTGGACTGGCCACGGGCGAGGCTTCTCGACAAGCCTTGCTGCTTCTGTGTGGTCAGAGGCCTGGCAACACCAGACCATTAAGATCTCAGGCTCCACCCTGGACCTAATGAATCAGAGACTACATTTTAACCAGAGCCTCGGTAGTCTGTGCACACTGAAGTTTGAGCTTTGTAGTAGGCAAATTCTGGGATTAGAGGACAGGATGAGTCTATAGGAATAGACTCTTAGAAGAGGGTTCAAACTCTCAGAGAGTCACCCTCTCTTTGGGTGGAGCTTACCACAGAGTAAAGGATCTTAACAAATCATGCCTTAGATTCTAGAGAGGAAGAGATAGAAACAAATATTTAGGGAGGGCCTGCTGGGTACTAGAAACATGTTAGGTGATTTATATCTGTTATCCCATTTAACAGCTCAGGCTCAGGGAAGCTAAGTGATTGTCCAAGATCACACAGCTAGTAAATAAGCCAGGGCTTCAAAATCATAACCCAAAGTCCCTTTATCCATTTTAAGTTAGGGGTGTTTCTACCATCTTTCTCATAATCTTCAGCTGATGCTCAGCCTTCAATTCACTAGCAGAAAAATGGTGGCTCATGCCTGTAATACTAGCGCTTTGAGAGGCTGAGGTGGGAAGATCACTTGAGACCAGGTGTTCAAGACCAGCCTGAGCAAGAGTAAGACGCCATCTCTATAAAACATAGAAAAATTAGTTGGGCCTGATGATGTATGCCTATACTCCCAGCTACTTGGGAGGCTGAGGCAGGAGGATTGCTGGAGCCCAGGCATTTGATGTTGCAGTGAGCTATAATGATGCCACTGCACTCTAGCTGGTGCAACAGAGCAAGACCCTGTCTCAAAAAAACAAAACAAAAAAACCCCAAAGCACTTAGAATTGGACTAGAAGAATTTGTAGTTCTCAATCTTGGTTACATGTTAGAATCATCTGCAGAGCTCCTTTTTAAAAATACTATTTTCCTGGGCTCTACTGAGGAAGGACTCTGTCCTGCACAGTAGGGCCCTGGCACCCTGTGGGCTCTGGGATGTCTTGGCCAGTTCACATTATACCCAGAAGACCAGGATGGCCCAGGGCTTGCTTCCTGCAGGCAAGTCCATATCTTAGGTTTGTTCTTTGTAAATGCAAATGCCCAGAACCAGGCTGGGTGGTACCCTGAGCCTTGTACCTATACCTAGCACTCCTTCCCTTATTGCTCACTGACCAAGCACACATGCTGCCTGAGGTATGAGCAGGTGCCTTATTGCAGGGAGAGCTGTAAGTGTACCCCATTTCCCCATTTACTCCAAAGTCAGGGATGGCTTTTTATATACAAGGTTCCATGCTCTTCTGTGTCCTCCTTACTCCCTTAGCGGGTATTAAAAACGTAGGAAGGAAGTTGAGAGCTTTCTTTGGGTCCTTGGTTTTCACCCTTCCGGGTTTCCTCCCACTGATGGTAATAATAGTAGCCAACATCCCTGCCCACTCACTCTGCACCAGAGGGAAAGGCCTTACGCAAGTCAGTCTTTTTGATCCTAGTAACAAATTGATGAATTATAATGAATTATAATCCCTATTTCACAGAGGAGGAAATTGAGGCTTCCAGGGCTTAATTGCTAGCTCATGGCTTTGAAGTAGGTAAGTGACAGAGCAGAGACTCAAATTCTGGAGAACCAGCCCCTAAACCTGGCTTTATAGACAAGTTGCTGTCTGTCTGTCCTTCTGTCACGGCCTGGTCTCCACGGGGTCCACCATGGCACTGTCCTCACCCCACTTCTCTTTTACCTCCTATCCACTTCCTCTGCCCTTACCACCATTTGATGGTTTCTTATTTTATTTATTTTTATTTATTTATTTATTTTGGAGACAGAGTCTTACTTTGTCACTCTTGGTAGAGTGCCACAGCTTCATAGATCATAGCAACCTCAAACTCCTGGACTTAAGTAATTCTCTTGCCTCAGCCTCCCAAGTAGCTAGGACTACAGGTGCCTACCACAACATCCAGCTATTTTTAGAGACGAGGTCTCGCTCTGGCTCATGCTCATCTCCAACCTAGGAGCTCAGGCAATCCACTCTCCTCGGCCTCCCAAGTACTTGGATTATAGGCGTGAGCCACCGTGCCTGGCCCTCATCTGATGATTTCTGTTCTAGCCTCTGTGATGCTGACTCTCCCTCTTGACTTCCCAGCCTATGTGATCACTTCCTGCTGGATATCACCATTGCCTAGAATCCCTGTACTTGGGTATCACCCCCCTTCTCTCGAGTTAGTTCTGAATCCTCCTACCCACTTTCTCCAACAGCCAGGTTCTGTTGACTCTCTCTCTGGGAGGTTTCTCTTGTCTGTTTGTCCTTTGATTTTTGCTGTTCCTGCCCTATTACCTCTTGCTTGGATTATTGTCTTCCTATCCTCCCTGCTCCTAAGTAACCTGTACCAGACAGAGAGTCCCTGAAGTCCAGCATTTTTGTGTAATTCCCCTTTTTAGGAACCTTTGTTGGCTCCCCCGAGACTCTGCATGATGTGTCACCATCAGGGTCCCTGGTTCCTGTCTTTGTCCAGCCTTAACTTACCCTGCATTCTTCCACTAGATAGCCCCTACAATCTGGCTACAACCCAGTCATGTATTCAAGTGAGCTGGGGCCCTTAGCCACATGTACTCTCACATTCATCCAAGCCCACATCTTGGCTTCCCTTCCAGGCTGTAATGTAAGTTCTCAAGGGCAGGATCTGGGTCCCAGTGCCCAGTGTAGGCCCCTGCATGAGGCCGGCACCAGTGCACGTTTGCTGAATGTGTGCACATAAAACAGTTGGAGGATTTCGGTGCTGTGGGCAGGCCTCTGCTTGCAGAGTACTTTTCCTTTATGTATTTTGGAGATTCTCCCTCTGTCTCCTTTGATTTCTCCAATGAGTAATTCTTACTAACTCCTGCTTTGTGCACCAAGCCTGTGCACCCAGGATGCGTGGAAGTCCCCTCCTAGCTCCAGGAGAGTTGGCTGTAGAGCCTGCTCAGTAGAGCCCCTAAAGCCCCAAAACTGAATTAGGGCTCAAGGTTGACTATCTAGTTTCCACAAAGTTGAGAACGCTTTATAAACATTCCTAAAACATGGTCTTAGCCTTCTCAGGGCTTCTTTTTGATTAAGATGGGACCATGCTGAGCTAGAAGATATCCCCAAGAAGGGAGAGGGACTGGTCTTGTGCCTCGGGCACCATGACCAGCAGTGGCCTGTGTGCAGGTGCTAGAGTTTGTAGCAGGGGGGGATTTGGGATGTTAGGGTGAGTACAAAGTAATATGAGAGTACTCCCCAGAGAGTGAGAAAATCTGGTTCTGCTACACAATTGCTTGTTTCAAAATGAGGTTGGAAAAGATTTCAGAGGTTTTTTCCAACTTTCAAATATTTTAACTTATAAAATATCTGTAAGCCACTTTCACACTGTGAAGTAAGGACATGCATTTCTACTGTGCTTTCAACTGCTCTCTTGAAAAGAGTTTCCGTTGCTCCTGTATGTGGAGTGAGGACTGGGTACCAGGGTCAAGGGCCTCTTGAAAGACTGGTGCTGTACCTTAAGAAGGGATGGGCAGTGTCTCTGTGGCTTGGGTATGCAGATTCCCTGGCCTGCTTAGGTGCTGAAAAGGGTCCCCGTCTGGCACATCTGGAAGGTCCAGTGAGCATATTTTGTGCTTACCATCCCTTGGCTCATTTATGACACTTCTAGGACCAAGGGTGCAGGAGATCTGGGTGTGGCAGCGGGTGCAGTGGTGTGGTGGGCTGGTAGCCAGCCTGTCTGCTGCATCTAGGAGGGCTGGCTGGAGAGATGCCCACCTGGGAAAGGGAATGTGTCGGCCCCACCTCCCATTAGGGTGGAGACTGCTTCCTGTTTTCCTGCCTGGGCAGGCAGGGAGGAGCCCTATTTTCAGCTTGTGGGCAGGATAGTCTGACACTTGTGAGGGGAGAAGGACTGTGATTTAAGGAGTCCTCTGGCTCAGACAGAAGAGAAAACAGTATATTTTCTTGGATGGGAAAGGTTGCTGACGCTGCCTTTGCTGATACCATGAGAAAGCCCAGGAAGTCTGTCTGCACTGTTTAGGAAGCTAGTGTGGCCTATGGCTTCTGTTTAAGAACAGTTCACACTGCTTATAGTTTAAAAGTATTTGTACATAACCTCTTCTAACCCACAGAACAACCATGCAATAGGTGATTATGGTCAGTTTTCAAATACAGACACTGAGGCTCGGAGAGATGAAGTGACTCACCTGAGTGTACTCAGGAAGTGGTAGAACCAACGTTTGAACACGGCATGTCTGTCCCAATTTTATTTTTTTTGAGACAGAGCCTCAAGCTGAGCCTCTGGGTAGAGTGCCATGGCTTCACTGCTCATAGCAACCTCCAACTCCTGGGCTCAAGCGAGTCTCCTGCCTCAGCCTCCCAAGTAGCTGGGACCACAGGCGCCCGCCACAACGCCCGGCTATGTTTTGGTTGCAGCCATTATTGTTGTTTGGCGGGCCCGGGCTGGATTCGAACCCGCCGCCTTAGG